ATTGTCCAATGTGAAACTTTTGGAAGAGAAATAGCTCCATTGGCTTTTTGTGTCTGCCATGGAAAAAATAATTTTTCCTTCATGGACTTGCTGTGTGGCTTTAGAACAGTTACTTAACTTCTCTGAGCCTCAGTCTCCTCACCTAACAAAGAAAGATAATGACCTCCTAGGGGCTTATTCAATGAGACAAAACAAGGGGCTGGTGTATTAAGCAGCAAAACTCTGCCTGCCTGTGACATCATGCGGGGAGAGGTGTGCTCTCCAGGAGGTGGCAAGATTAGCAATGCTGACCCAAAAGCAAGTCAGGATGGACTGAGCACCACACGTCCAGAATTGTGGTATTTGGAGAATGAGAAGAAAAAAATACCCAAACTCAGTAGGAAATGAGTCTTTATTTTCATAGTCTATCAGCGGGACACTGCAAGCACTGGAAAAGGAAAAGACAATAATAACGCGTGTTCCAAATGTATCCCCAGGGGCTCTGGGAGAGGCAGCCCTGCCCTTCTCCTTCCATTCCTTATATTAGGGGTCTGTGCAGGGTGGAGAGGGGCTGGAAGACACCCTGGGAGTTCCCGTCCTAAGCCAGGGCCCCTTCCTGAGCGTGTTGCGGACCCGAGGACGATGTGGCTCCTGTGCAGGCGAGATGGTCTGCTCAGGATTTTCTGCGCTGTCATGAGTATGTCTTACACCATCCCTGAGTCTGAGACCTCAGATGTCATGGACTCAGTGCCTTTGGTTGGTCACTTAGGTAGCAGCTTTAGGGCTGAACTGTAAGGGGCTAGGGAAGGCGTGTGGCTACTTTGTGCAGGGGTGTGTGTGTGTGTATACCCGCTTTGAGATTTAGGAGAGCAAAAAGGCAGGCAGGATGTCTAGGTCAGTCTGGAACCTTGTCACACAGAGCAAGACCCCCCACGGGAGGGCGCACCATGAGGTTCAGAATCCCACAATCTGTCTGAGCCTCCGGTCTGTTGAGTGGGACGCTGAGCACAAGCTCACACTGTCCCAGAAAAGGCCAGTGTGAGCTCAGAGCGCAAGTCAGTGCAAAGAAGTGTCGTCAGGACAGGATGACATGGTGATGCTGACCTCCAAAATCCAGCTTCCTCCCACCGGGAGGTGTCCCACTCTCTGCCAACCCCAGCCTGCTTTGACTCAGAGCCTCCATTCCCCTGAGTTTTGGGAACTGGTCTTTGGGGATGACATCTGCTTTTTCTTGTCTCCCAACCACCACTGAACTTGTCAGCTAGGCTGGGAGTAGAGACTGGGTGAAGAGCCCTGGCACTGCCACATGGCACTGTGACCGTGGCAGGCTCCAGCCTAGCCCAGGTGTGAGCATGGGGCCCAACTTCCAGGGACAAAGCAGGATGTGTGCCTGAAATGTATCCAGAATAATTTCCACACAAAGGCTTGAACTCATTGGCTCACACATTTAATTAGCAATGGATAGGCTGGGTTCCCCAAAAGGCTGGAGAACACCTATCTGGACCTTGGATGTGCAGAGGCTGAAGGCCTTGGCAGTAGTTACAGAGCTGGACAGGGACTCTGCTTTCATTCTGGGTGATCACTGCCCTGCTGTCACCAGTTCCACTGCCTTCTCTGGGGACCACATCTTCTGGGGACTGTCTCCTCTTCTTGGTCCCCACTGCATCCCCAGCCACCAGGAAGCCAGTCACCAAGGACTGGACACCGCTCTGGACATAGGAGATGGACTTGGGAACAGCATTCCATAGATAGCATTGCCAGAAAAGTTCATGGTTAAAGCCAGCTGTGAAGTTTTGTGAGTGTAGCACTCAGGACGTCTTGGCTGCACGGCCTTGGGCGAATGAATCACTTAAACCCTGTGAGAGTCAGTTTAGATTAGCACATACCACAAAGGGCTGCTTCCCAGTAGCAAATGTGGGACTAGCATTTTTATTTATTTACTTATTCATTCAAAAGCATTTATTGAACACCTACACTATGCAGCACACAGTGTTCTGGATGCTACAGTTATAGCAGTGGGTGGAATTCCAGTGGGAGAGATGGACAATTGAATGAATGTTCAATGTGAATTTATTTATAGACAGTAAATATTTGCTTATATATTATGCAAATATTCTATATTTATAAATTTCTGTGTATAATGAAATATTTATTCTTGACTCATATACTAATTATGTATAAACAGGTCCATGTTAAGCCATATATATATATATATATGTAGCAGTGGGGAATTCAATGAGCAATGATGGGAAGAAGCTATTTTCGGTGGAGGCCTAGGAGTTCTCCCTGAGAGGTGACATTTGAACAGAGAGGAGGTGAGAAGGTGAGGCACCAGCCTCACCTGTGGGATGGCCGAGCTAGTGAGTAGAGTAAATGGCAGTAGGGTAAAAGCAGGTGAGAAGGAAGTGGCCGGAGTGGCCGCGTGAGGCCTTGCCTTGCAGGTGCTTAGGGGATTGTAGTGTCTGTCTTGCTGACTGCCTGAGACACATAGGTGCCACATAAGTGCATTTTCATTTGCTTGTTGTGTTTCCTTAGTGCTTTCTCAGTAGTAGCCACTTTGCAGACAGTGGAAACTCAGAGTTGAAGATCAGGTGTTGCCCTCCAGTCACTGGTGGCTCTGGGTACCAGGTAGGGTGCTGGTGGTCCCCCTTTCATGGGGTTTTGGCGTAGCCATGTGGGAGTTATATTGAGGCAGGGGGCCTCTGGCCCCACTCAGTGGTTGGGCGAGAGCCAGGAAGTCTTGAAGGACCAGTGGACCTCAGCCTGGGGAAGAAGCCTGGGAAGCTGCCCTGAACAGAGTAGACAGACAGATAGTATGAGCAAGGCCCAGAGGTTAGAGACAACATGGCACATGGGGCAAGGGCTGTGACTCAGTGTGGCTGGAAGTTTGTGGTTTCTAGGGAACATGGAAGCCACAGGCTGAGGCTGGGGAGGGGGACAGCCCCAGCAGGGCTACTGTGTGACCGAGATCCAGCTGTCCCAGAGGCACACCTTGAGACATGCTCTCAGGGGGAAAGGAAGGGAAGAAGCCCAGTGGCAAAATGTCACAGAAGCCTCGCTGGCTTCAGCCTGATGGACAGCTAAGGCGCATAAGTTGCACTCTTTCTTGCCTACAGCTAGCTGTGCCATTGGCCAAGAGTCACCCAGCACAGAGTGGGGAGCTTCGAGCACTCTGCTCACAGATGAGCAGCTCCAGGCCCGAGGACCCACTGCTGAAGAAGAGTGACAAGCGCGGGCATTAGAAGTAGATGAGTGGGAGGTGGGAGGTGCTCAGATATGTGCGGGGCCCTGGAGGGGAAGTGCGTGAAGCCAAGGTGACCAGCCATCCCAGCCTGCTGGAGACCAAGAGGTTCCAAGGGACTTTGAAGGCTAAGTCAGGACGGTGAGTCACCAGGAGCACAAACATTGTCTGCTATAAGACTTAACCTTGAATGTTGGTTTCCTCATCTGCAAAACAGCCTCATAGTAGAGTCCACTTCTTGGGGATGCTGGAGCGCGTCACCATGACTTAACCAGGTAGGGTGAACTGCCTGACCTGGAAGCCACCTGAGGGACCTTAGCTCTGTAAGCCCTCCCCTCCCCTGCCAGACATCTGGAATGACAAAAGTAGACTTGTCCAAATCCAAAGCCAGGGTGCTCCTGGTTCTTCGCCTCCTACCCTCCAACCCCAACCATTCAACCACTGGCCCATGGCTGAGGCTGGGAGCGAGGAGGCTGTGCCTTTAAGTGTTCCAAACAGCACGGCAAGTGTTATGACAGTGCATCTCACGAGGGATGCCGTTTCCACGGCAACCCCACACTGAGATAAGCAAGCTGCCTGTATGCCTGTATTTTTTTCTGAAAGGTTGAGGAACGGGGAGGGGGTGGAGTGGGGGAATTAGGCAGTCTGTCAGCGGGTGGAACTTAAAAGCGAGAATCATATCCATTAATCCTTAAGCTCTGATTGCTTCATCCGGGAACGGGAACGAAGCGAGCCATTAGAGGAGGGAGAAGCAGGGCCCCTTCCCTGACGCCCCAGGTCATGGGCTTGAGCAGGGGCTGCCTCTGGATGCATGGCAGGAGGAAGAAAGAGAAAGCCATGGCCAAGTTTTGTTTGAGAAATAGCAGCCGCCTAGACTTCATAAGCTCCGTCATGGTTTCCTAGTACCTGAGGAGGACCTGGCACACACCTTGGAGGCCGCATGCGTGCGTGGTTGGCATTGAGGACTCAGGCTCTGCACTCAGACATAAATTCAGATTCTGACTCTGCTAGAGGCTTGGGTACTGGACAAACTATCCAACCTATTGAGCTCTCAGTTTCTTCATCTGTACAGTGGGTAAAACAATGGAAACACCCATCTCTTAAGTGGGCATGAGGACCCAGCAAGAGGATGAACATATATAACAGTGCTCAACACAGGGCCTGGCATGCAATAGGTGCTTAATAAACGCTAGTTGCTAACATTTGTTATTGTCATCTGATTCCCCTGGGGACGATGGTACCACTGTGTCTGAAGTCCTCATTGGCAGTTAGGTAGAAATTGACATTATCCAAGACCATCCTTGAGAGCTGTTGCCATTTCTGCCCCTGGAAGTCCTGACTCTTCCTGGCACACCTGGATTCAGGTCTCACTTTGTCATCATGGGCTGACTTCTGCCCTCCCTCCCTCTAGCCACTGACCTCTGTGGCTCCTTCAACACACCCAGCCAGTGGCTTCTCTCCAGGAACCACTCCTTACTCCTTGGCCACTTCAGTGGAGAAGTGTTTGAGATCTTCCAAGGGTTGCTGCTTCTCAATCCTCAGTCCCAAAGGTGGCATGTAATGATGCTTAAGATGCCCCACCCTGGAGCTAGCCTGCCACGGCTCAGATCTAAGACCCACTGCCACCCAAGTAAACATGAGTCAGACGGTTTCTCTAACCCTCAGCTTCCCCATCTGGGGAATGGGCATAGTGATAGTCCTCCTTCCACTTCCCCAAGCAGCTGGGCTCTGGGGTCAGCAGGAGACCAGGGAGAGGGTGCTGCCATAGTCCAAGCGAGCAATGGCGCAGGCACAGGTATGAGGACTAAGCACACACCCAGTAACTGCCACCCCTTACTTCTGCCACTTCTGCTTACCAGGTTCCTGGGATCTGAGTCCCCATTCCCTGTTGTAGCAGCAGGAAGACAAGGTGGACTCTCTTGCAGATCTCCTGGGAGAGTCAGCATTTATCTCTGGGAATCTGGTTAGTTTCCGGGTGGCTCTGGGTGTGTAACGTGGGGTGCTTTCTTCCTTGCTGTTCCTAGGGCCTTCTAGGCTTCACAGTGACCTGATACTAGCCAGACCTGTTAGCAGACAGCCCGATAGACACTGCCTGCCTGGACCTCAGGATATACACCAGCTGCATGTGCACACCCTGGTTTTTTGTATATATATTGCACAGGTGCCCCCAGCCCTATTTCCATCATGGCTGCAGCACATTCAGTTTCCCTGGTGTCTGGAGACCCTGTGCCCACAGTCAGATTGCACAGAAGAGCTGACAAGAACTCACAGCATGGCCAGCCAGGAGGAGGAGAGAAAGGAGACTCCCTGCGCTTTCCTAATTTATTTTGACAACTGTAATTTCATTTTAATTATTTATGATCATACCTCAGAGTTCACTGGCAAATGACCCGCTGTGTGTGTTCTGTGCAGAGGAGAAGGCGTGGCAGCGAGGGGCTGGCTTTCAGCTTTTAGAACTGTTTTGCTGTTTGTGGGGACAGCAATGCCAGGGCCCTTTGTCTCAGCTCACCCCATCCTGCGGGTCCAACCACCATCACTGAAGAATGATTCTATTTTCACACCATACAGCCATAAAATTAGAATGTGGTGCTCAGGGGCACATGAGCTGGCAGGGTCACTACCCTTGTCTCGAGCTGGCTTCTCCTCCATAGGTTTTATTGCTAGCTCTCCCTGGGGTGTGTCCAGGATGGAGCCCAGAATGGCAGAGTGGGGAGAAGGCTGGTGATCCCTGATTTCACCCCCTTGTTCTGATGACTGGAGGAGGACAGGGAGAGCCTTAGTCACACAACAGCAACCCAACCCCAGGCTTGCTGGTCCCAGGCCAGTTTGAGCATGTGCCTGTCAGTCCCTGGAGCTGAATGGAGCCACACCAGGTCAGGATATGAACAGCAAGGACTTTCCCAAGCAGCCGCTCCCTCTCTCTGAGACACTGGCAGCCTTCTCAAGGGCTTGCCTAGTAGGTTTTTACGTTATTGACTTCAAGGATGTCAAAAAATGCCCCTGCCCCCAGGTGGCACATCACCCCCTTTCAGGAATCTACTTTTGAAGATTCTGTCTTGGGGTGAACATTGCTCCCTTACTCGAGATGTCTGGGCAGAGGGAATCGTGAGGCCATGAGGAAGACCCCAAGAATGGCCCCTTAGGCCTGTCGAGCTCATTGCACTGTTGGCCATTGATTTCTCACGATGGCCCAGAGGAGCGGACAGAGCAAGATTCACAGTACCCATTTTACAGATGAGAACTGAGAGGCTCCAAGAAGTTGGCATTGGCAAAGGCACACACCAGTGAGCTTGCAAAGCAGACATCTGAGCCCGAGAGGGTAGGGGTGGGGTTAGGAC